CTGCTGAAGCGGCAGCATGCAGTGCGCGCGAGCTTTTACTCGATGGGAAAGTTCTGGTATTCGAACGCCCCATGGAAGCTAAAAGCTAACCTGGTCAAGAGTGTTCTAGTGGATGCGGCTCTGTCTGGAATGGAGGTCTGGGCCAAAGGCGCGGGCCCCCTGGTACCTAGAGATCTCGCGGGGCTCGAAGGGTTCATAGTAGCCAAGGGCCGAGCCATACTTCAAGGGGCGCGTTCATGGTCTGAGGGAAAAGCTCGCACGTTATACAATCATGAGGTTTTACGCAAGTTTGGTATGGGACTGCTATTCTTGGAACTTAGGCTTAGACGACTAAGATGGCATTGAAGTATGCCCAGGGCGAAAGAGTTCCATGGGCAGTTCTGGGCAGCTATGTCTGGTATTATGGCGGTGGATGGGGAGGCACCTACTAACGGGAGGGTGGTGAAAAAAGGCATCCTTGGGCACATCAGTAGCAACGGGATATTGGTTCTTTGGCAGCCACCGAAGCAGGGGCCGACCTGCTAGAAGAGGCTGAGCACAGACTAGATCGTGTATTATTTGAGCTTGGAGAGGATTTCCAGGCAATCGATGTCAGCGAGTTGCAGGCCGCTTCTTTGATGCAGCCGCCAGCCGTCGCCAGCGCGGCTCCCTCGACGGACCAGGGCGGCGAGTTTGTTTGCAGAGAAATTATGCCAGACGGATCGCAATGTCTATCTAACTGGCCGACATACAAACAGCTCGTCGCACGCGTCGCTTCGACGTCGGGGGGTGCGCGCGGGAAGCTGCACATCGCAAGAATATGCACTATTACTAATCAATGTACCATGTGCTCTAGCGTGTTTCGTGATCGCACGGTCGCTTTGCAGCATACTATGCGAAGTCTAGCTCGTCAGTTCTGCCCTTGCAACAGCGGTCGCTTCGAAAGTCATATACTCGAAACGGATGCCAGGAAGTGTCATGTATGTCTAGAGGAGTTCGACACCGCAGCCGAGTTGCCCAAGCATGGTTTCGTTCATCTTCGTCCTTGTCTGGCACCGAACTTTCATGTTAAGGTCGCAGGACGACGCTTCAGGCTTGGCGAGGCCTCGCAGCAAGAGCTTTGCGATCGCATCCGAGCAGAGCGAGAAAAAAACAAACGAAGACGGGGGACGGGATGGAGGTCGTATCAGACGAGGAGGAGGAGAACAGCGCCAAGCAGTCTGTGCGAGGCAAGCTGATCACCCAGCTCGAGACTCGCGTGAGAACCCTCGAACAGGTCAGTTTCACCACTCTCATGCTGGAGCGCAAGCATCCTCTGGTGGAGGCCATGCTCAACAGTTTCCAGGACGTCCTGAAAGTGAGGAAAGAAAATCCAGACAAGGAGCTGGCCGCCCCCGCTTGCCAAGCCCTTTTCGCGGCTCTCGCCGTTATCGAGAGCTCGTCGCCCGCGGACGCATCTCTGCGCATCCAGGTTGGCAAGAAGGCGTGTGTCAGGCTCCAGAGGATGATGTCCAAGTCTACGCCGTTCCAGCTGTCGAGGTGGGTCAAAGAGATGGCGACCACCCCCACCTACGACCGCCCAGGCCAGAAACAGTTCAATCGCATTACGTTGTCGCTCAAAGGCAATATTCTGCTCCCAAAAGATCCAGCCGTGGAGGAAGCTCTTCTCAAACAGATCGAGGAAGCAAAGGGAGGGGAAGGGGAAGAGGTAGGCATGCAGATGACGCCGCTCGACCTTCCCAGTGAGCAGATGTCCATGGCAGGCATGTGGGTGAGTGTCGAGCAGGTGTTGTGTGAGCAGATGCGCAGTATAGGTGCCACAGTGAAGTACAATCGTGCTCCGAGAGGCAACATGGCCAGGCAGCTTGGCGGCGACAAGCAATCTTCTAAAGGCCGCAGCTAGGCCATTTCCTCGGCCGAGCGCCCGTGCTGGGCCCCAGCGCTGGCCTTTCAGCCTGTTGCAGTTGTGCGTGAATTATATGCCTCTCTCTGTGCCCTTGTTTGTTTGATGTGTTCAGGAATAAGAGTGCTCGTGTATTCATATTGCGTGCAATCTTCTCGTGGCACAGTCTTTTCTCACACGCACAATATGTAGCAGCATGGCTGCCAGATAGGCGAAACGTCGACAGGGGGTTAAACAAGGTTTTAACGGCCCCAGCCAGAGCTAAGTTTCGTTTTCCAGTGGAACGTCAGACGGCTTGAGTGGCTTGAGTGCTGCTGCTGCTCCTCCTCCTCCTCCTCCTCCTCCTCCTCCTTCCCCTCCTCCTCCTCCTCCCCCTCCTCCTCCTCCTCTTCCTCCTCCTCCTCCTCCTTCTCCTCCTCCTCCTCATTCCGTCGTGTTCCCCTTCCGCGACGCGACGCGGCTTGCGCGCGGGGTCCGGCGAGGCGCCAAGGAGGAGGAGGAGGAGGAGGAGGAGGAGGAGGAGGAGGAGGAGGAGGAGGAGCAGGAGCAGCAGGGAGGAGGAGGAGGAGGAGGCCCGATACCACAAACGCTGCGATCCAGAGTCGACCCCCGGCGGCTCGCGGCAGACCCAGGCGCGCCTCTTGCGGCACACAGCCTTGGCGGGTCCGCCTTCTCTCGGTGCTGCGGTCTGGAGGGGGAGGACCTCGAAGACGAAAAAACACCACACAGTCGGGCCGCTGAAGAACGAACCCTTCTCGTTGGGGAGGGGCTTGAGTGTTCCTTGCTTGTTCTGCAGTTTGTCTTAGGCTGTCCGTGGGTTTCCCATGGGAGATCGCAGTTTAGCTTATGAGGAAAAGGGGCCTCGTTCCCTATTTAGGGTTCCTTGTGGCAGCGTTTCGACTGTAAACGTAAACGTTTGGCGCTCCGCGCGGGCTTCTTGGATCCGCGCTGATCCCCCCCCCGCGGCGCCTCCGTCGCCGCCCCTGGCGCGCTCCGCGCGCCAATGAGGGGGGTCCAGCGCAGATCCACGAAATCCGCGCGGAGCGCCACCATTTTATGCTTATGGCGTGCTTTCTTGCTCTAGGAGCGGGATGTGGGCCTCCCAGGTGGGGTCCCGAGTGGATGGGACGCGTCGAAGGTTCGCGCCGCACCGCCAAAATTCGTCGCCAATGCATCGCCGAGAAAGCTTGCTTCGGAGCGCGGTCTTCGCCACGCCGGCGCTGCCGAACTGCATCGCCGCCAGCGTCAGTGGGGAGCAATCCGCCGACCACATCTGCTCGGACCCCGTGCAGGATGCCTCCACAGGAGGAGGAGGAGGAGGAGGAGGAGGAGGAGGAGGAGGAGGAGGAGGAAGCTTTGAGGAGGAGGAGGAGGAGAAGGAGGAGGAGGAGGAGGAGGAGGAGGAGGAGGAGGCTGGAGGTTGTTGTGCGCCTTGACCTCTTGTACACCTTCGGAAGCTCGACGAGGCATCCGTGGATCTCCTCCTGCCTGTCCTCCTGCTCCTGCTGCTGCCTCTGCTGTCCCTTTGCCTCTTCCTCCCTCTCCACAATTACACACGATGAACGCCATTCTCCTCTCCCCCCTCATTCCGTCCGGAAGACGTCCCGCCCTATCAGCGCATGTTTTTCATAAAGGAATTCTGAGGTTGACGTCTCTCACGCGCTCATCCAAGGCGAGCCTCATTTCCGCGTTGTCGGTCCGTCCAGGTGGTGCTCCCAATGCAGCATCGGCCTCATCTCCAAATTGTCGGTCCTCCAGCATGGTTTTCTGGTTGCACCGTTCACGCAGCCATTGTATGTAGCCGCTATTTTGCGATTACATGCCTTGCTCTGCAATGCTGTGATATGCAACGCTGGGCTACACAGTGCCATGCCATACAATGGCATGCCATGCGTTGCCATGCCATGTGCCGCTATGCGATGCTATGCCTTGCGCTGCAATGCTACGCCATGCAATTCTTGACTACGCAATGTTATGACATGCTATGCATCGCGTACCCCGACTGTGCGAGTAGAGAGGGGCTCTACGTAACGATGAGGGATGGCAGGGAGGGATGTGGCGTCAGCCATTTTCACCGACCGCGTTCCGCTACTCGCAAAGTGCCAGCTCGCACACGTCAGACAAAACCACATGCCTTCCTATATGTAATTGGTCGTAGATCCGCCGCGGCGGATCCAGACCGTCTGCGAGTAGTTTTTTTTGCGTGCCGTGGAACGCGCTTGCCTATAGTTGTACGAGCAGTATTCCACTCGCCCCAGAAGATGTCCGGGGAGGCGCCCACCCCCTTCTGCGTCTTTTTTTTGTTTTTTTTTTTGGGGGGGGGAGGGGGATTTACACACATATATATATATATATATATATATATACACATATGTGTGTTTTTAATCAATTTTATGTATTGAATATAAAGTGTTCATACGCAGGACTTCACCACCTGACCCTCCTTAGATTCCCTATCCGTCGGAATGTTGTCGGTGTCTCCAGAGGGCGCTGCCGCTGCAGCTCTGGCCTCATTTTGGGGGTCGGCGCTCTGCTGCCATGGTTCTCAGCATGGCGCCCTCGCTCCCAGCGCGGACCGCATATGTTCCGCAGCCGAGTCTGTCCTGGTCGTTGTCGCCCCCTCCTTTCCCTCCTCCGCCTTATGCTCCAGCTCCTTCTGCTCATGCTTCTCTTTTGCCCTGCTCCTGCCGCTGCCGTTCGTCCCCGTCCTCCTCCCTCCTCCTCCTCCTCCCTCCTCCTCCTCCTCCTCCTCCTCCTCCTCCTCCTCCTCCTCCTCGCGGCGTCCCCCTTCTCGTCCTCCTGCTCATCCACCACCGACCGCTCCCTCCCAAGTACGCAGTTCCCCTGGTCCGACTGTGCATCACACGACCGGACGCTTCTTCGAGATCTAGACCCGCGATGACACGTGTCCGCGGATAGAGAAGACAAGCAAAGTGGCGCAATGACAAGGGATGGGCGGGAGGGTTGGGATGTCAGCCATGTTGGGAGCGCACCCAGCTTGTCCAGCCCCCCTCTTCTCTCCTCCTTGTTGTGCCAGTCGCTCAGGGTGGAGGGGTGCCTCGGCCGGGCGCAGGCGGTATACGGAGCGGCGCCTCCCTAACCACGGAGCCGCGCCGAGGAGCCACAACCCCGAGGCCGACGAGACGCGGATGGTGTACGTGGGCCGTCTGTTCACGCTGCTGGTGGCAGGCGGGGCGGCCGAGGTGGAGGAGGAACGCTGGGGGCGAGGATCCGAGGGAGAGAAGGTACCCATACCTCCACCCTTCTCTCGTTGTCCCCTTCTTTTCAGCGGAGGGAACACCACCCCGACCCCGACAATTGGCGTTTACTAAGCGGCCCTGGGCGTTTGCTAAGCGGCCCTGCCCTGTTCAGCTCCTTCCTTGGATGCGTTTACTAAACGGTTTCGCTTGTCGGGGTGCTTACTCTGGGGGCGGATTTTCTGCTCTCTGATTTTGGGCCTCCAGGGAGGCCCTCGTCGCCACCGCTGGACTCGCCTCGAGATCCTGGTCAGGAAAGGCTCCCTGGGAGAGGCCCGGGGAGCAGCGGCATCGGTGCCGCGTGGTCTCCCCCCGAGGAGGACAACGGGGGAGGCGGAGGGAGATGGGCCTCCTCCTCCTCCTCTTCCTCCTCCTCCTCCTCGTCCGCCTCCTTCTCCTCCTTCTCCTTTTCCTCCTCCTCCTCTTTTTCCTCCTCCTCCTCCTCCTCCTCGTCCAGCAGACGTACGAGGAGGTCGACGAGGGGGAGGAGCATCAGGATGACCGGGGCAGAGGGAGCAGGAGGAAGAGAAGGAGGAGGGGAGGGAGCAGGAGGAGGGGAAGGGGAGGGGGAGGGGAAGGAGCAGGAGGAGGGGAAGAGGAGGGGGAGGAGCAGGAGGAGGGGAAGAGGAGGGGGAGGAGCAGGAGGAGGAGTAGGAGGGGGAGGAGGAGGAGGAGGAGGAGGAGGAGGAGGAGGCGGAGGAGGAGGAGGAGGAGGATTGCGGGGCAGAGTGAGCCCAGGGTGCAGCAGCGATGATGGCGCAACGGACCCCCGCGTCCCAAAAATCTCCTCCTCGGAAGTGCCCGCGCCTGTCTGCTCGCTTGCCACTGTAGGAGGCGTCCGCCGTGCACGGCGAGCGCCGGGTTGGGCCTGCTGGTCGGGCGAGGCCCTGCGTTGCACGTGGTCTTCGTGCATCCTTTCAGCTTCAAATCGGGGCTGTCCCTCTTCAGGAGGAGTATTCAAAAGTAGACAACATATGGTCTTGGGACGATTTTCAATATGTATGTATGAATATATATATATATACATAGATACAGATATCATATGTATATGTATCGTCCAAGCTCCGACTGTAGGGGCACATGCCCAACTTAGTGTTAGCTAGAGGAACCACAGCGTGCTAGGGTACTGAGGTTCATGGGACGTGGCCAGCCATAGCGTCGTTGTTACTAAAAGGTTCAGCCATCCATCCGTGGACGTGCTGCATAACTTCAGAAGTCCTGCATCTGCAGAATGCAGAAGTCTGAATCGACTGTCCCGCTTTCAGCAAGAGCCGCTCTCTCTATATGTGTACATGTTGCACATGTAAGGGTTTTGGGCTGGAGAGCATGAGGAAGTCTCAGGCGAGAGTTGCATTGTGAACAACAACCCCTCCAGCCTTGTAGCCACTGGCAACTCCCAATTGAACGTGCGTGGCACTAAGGCGATCCCCATTTTGAAAACAACTGGCCCTCCATCCGTCTACCTTTTCGTAAGCTTTTGAAGCGAGTGTGCTCGGCGCTATGGCGAGGCCCGCGTTTTGGAAGCCGTCGGCCCTACATCCTTGTTGGTGGTGTTGGAAGTGTTCGCAACGAATGTGCGCGGCGCCTAGACGAGAGGCGCATTTTGAATTGATTCGCCCTGCATCCTTGTAGCTCCTGGGGGCTTTTCAGGCGAGTATGCGTGGCGCGATGGCGAAAGCCGGATTTTAGGGACCACCAGCTCTGCCTCTGGAAGCCTTCGGAATTGTTTTAGTTTCACGATGGCAAGTTGTGGGGACGTCTCTGGCGAAACGTCTTTCCCGAACTCCGGACACGTCTGATGGTACGACAGGGTTTGCGGGATGTGCGATGATAATGGCGATGATGATGTTGCTGATGATGATGATGGTGATGATGGTGATGATGATGAAGATGATGATGATGATGATGATGATGATGATGATGATGATGATGATGATGATGATGATGAAGAGGAGGAGGAGGAGGAACAATTTGAGCAGGACCAAGCGGGGCATGATGAGGATTCGGATCAGGACGAGGACGATGATGTGTGGTGACGGCGAGGAGGAGCAAGAGGAGCAGGATGCCGACAACCAGGAGGTTAGAAGGATAGACATTCTGATAAGGACCAGTTGTGAGGATCATGAAGGGAATGGCGACGACGATGATAATGATGATGCTGCTGCCGCTGATGATGATCATGAGCATCATGAGGGGGCGGAGGATGAGGCGGAAAAAGAAGATTCACCAGGAACATTTACCAGTTGGAGGGGCGAGGATGAGGATTGGAGGGGGAAGGACGGGGAGGAGGAGGAAGAGGAGGAGAAAAAGGTAGAGCAGCGTTGATGATGCTGCTGCCGATGGTGATTCTGATGATAATGATGGTGTCGAGGAGGCACGGGAGGACCATCAAGACCATATCTGTTTGGGGGACGAGGATGAGGAGTGGAGGGGGTGGAATAGAAGGAGGAGGAGGAGACTGCGGAGAAGAAGGAGAAAGAGGATGTAATGGAGCAGCGACGGTGATGCTGACGATGATGCTGCTGCTGCTGCTGATGATGATGATGATGATGATGTTACTGCTGTTGTTGTTGATGGTGGTGATGGTGATGATGATGTGGTGGCGATGGTGATGACGATGGTGGCGATGATGATGATGATGATGATGGTGATGATGATTTTGATGTTGATGATGATGAAGAAGATGATGATGATGATGATGATGATGCTGATGATGATGATGATGATGATGATGATGATGATGACGCTGACGATGGCGGTGGTGTTGACGAGGTTTACAATGATGATGTTGCCGACGATATTGTTGATGATGCTCATGCTGATTATGATGTTGATGCTGACGCTGACGCTGATGCTGACGATGATGATGCTGATGTTGATGATGTTGATGATGGTGATTGTGATGATGGTGGTGATGATGATGGTGATGCTGATGATGAAGACGATGACGATGAAGCTTAGGATTAGAAATATGTGGATGAGGATGATGATGATGCTGTCGAGGATGATGATGATGATGATGATGATGATGATGATGATGATGATGATGATGATGATGATGGTGGTGGTGGTGGTGGTGATGATGCTGATGCTGATGCGGATGATGATGATGATGCTGGTGATGCTGCTGATGATGATGATGAGGATGCTGATGACCATGGTGATGCTGATGATGATGCGGATGATGACCATCACCATGCTCATGATTATGATGTTGGTGATGACCGTCATGATGACGCGGTAGTAGTGGTGATGATGGTGAGCGGGATAATCAGGATGATCATGACGATGGGATGAGAAGGATAACGAGAAGGAGGAGGACGAGGAGGAGCTGGAGGAGGAGGAGGAGATGAAGAAGGAAACAACAGATACGATGAGAGGGATGGGAGCAAGAGGAAACTGAGGATGTGGCATAGGCGGCGGATGAAAGGGAATTGAAGATGATAATGAGGCGGGGTAGTTGGAGGGAGAGGAGGAGGAGCAGGGGAAGAGCTGAGCAAAAGAGGAGTAGGCCTGGGAGTGGGAGGCCGTGGTGGATGGGGGAAGGAGGGAAGGAGTGCTTTTGAGGCAGGTGGGCAGGCCTATCCTTCCTGTGGCTTCCGGTCATCGTGAACGTGAGCGACCAGCTCTTCTTGTACATCCAGAGCATGCAGGCCGCGGGGCTGCCGCTGCGGCGGCCCTGCCCCGTCGTGGGCGGGCAGGCGGGGCAAGATGGGGCCAGAGGGTTCCGGGATCTGGTGCACGGGTTCCACCAGGCTTCGCAGTCTACTCCTCTCTCTCTCTCCCTCTCTCTGCCTCTCGCTCTCACCTCTCCCCATAGATGTGGTCATCCTCGCTATTTATGTGTATATACATATCTATACACATGTATGTATATGTATATGTATTTGTATATGTATTCGTATATGTATATGTATATGTATATGTATATGTATGCATATGTGTATATATATATATATCACCCTCTCTTTCTTTCTCTTTCCACCTCCTTCCGTTCTCATTCCTCTTCCCGTCTCCCTTCTGCCTCTCGCCTCGCGCCTTCTCCCTGCTCCCTGCTGCCTCCTCTCTCCTGCCTGCTCCCTCTTTCATCCTCGCTCCTCCCCGTTCTCTGATCCTTCCTCCCTCCACTTCCCTCTTCCGAGTGTCCCAAACGTGCTGTGTGACTCGGGTCCTCATGTTGCGTCAGCAGCGCCGCGCCCCACCCCCTCGTCACCTCCCTCTATTTGTAAATCAGGCATGCCCCTCTACAGGAAGAATAGTCAAACATAGTCCAACAATAGTTTCGGGACGATGTTGTTCGTATCTTTTTCGATTATTTGGGAATGTGTTTCGACAGTTTTCTGTTGTTCCTTCACAATTCGCCTGTAGGCGGACATGTCCGACCTAACTCGATTTATTCATTTGCTATCCGCGTGGCACTTTCAGAACACATGCACACATCCCCCACACAATTCGCGGCCCCACAGGGTGTTCAACCGAACGCTTCAGTGGCAGGGTATCGCACGCGGCCCCCGCCGCCCATTTCCGCACGCTGCTCAAACGTTCCTTGGCTCCACAGGCAGCTCCAACAGATGCCTCAGCGGCAGGACATTGTACGCGACCCCCCCTCGTTTCGACACGCGGCACGCCCTTTACACGTTCTGAGGCCCCAGGAGGGAGCCCCACCGAAGGCCCAATAACAATGTATTGAATTCGGCACGCCGCTCGTTTCGGCACAGCGCTCACACATTTCATGTTCCCGCATAGAGCTCCAGTGGTGGTGTGTCGCATGCACGCCCCTGGCGCCCATGTCGGTAAAACCCTCGCGCAACTCGTGGCCCCACATGGAGCTCCGCCGAGTGCTTCAGTGGCAGGGCATCGCATGTGGTCCCCTGCCCCTTCCAGCACACCCCTCACAGGGGGCTTCAACGAAGGCCTCAGCGGCAGGGTACCGCAAGCGGTCCATCCGACAATTTCGGCACACCCTTGACGCGTTTCGCGGCGCCATAAGGGGGCCTCCACCGAAGGCCCCAGTAGCCGGGTATCGCATACGCCCCCTGCCTATTCTGGCACATTGCTCACACGTTTCGTGGCCCCACATGGGGGCTCCACCAGATGCTTCACAGGATGGGTATCGCACGCGCATCTTTCAGCAAGTTCGGCACAGCCCTCAAACATGTCGGTACCCCGCCCAGTGGCGGTGTCCACTTGCGGGTCCCCGCCAATTTCGGCACACACCTCACACGTCTCCTGGCCCCACAGGGAACTCCACCGAAGACTTCAATGGCAGGGCATCGTATGCGGTCCCTCCCGCCCAGTTTCGGCACACTGCTTTCGTGGCAGGGTGCAACATGCAGTTCCCCCGCAACTTTAGCAATGCCGGCACACTCTTCACGCTTTTCGTGGCACTACAGGGAGCTCCGCCGAAGGCCTCAGCGGCAGGGAATGGAATCGCATGTTGTCCCCCCGCCTATTTCGGCACACTGTTTATGCGTTTCCTTGCTCCGCAAGGAACTCTACCGAAGGCATCAGTGGCAGGTATTGCATGCGGTCCTCTCAAACATTTCGGCACATCCCTCACGTGTTTTGCAGCCACAGGGAGCTCCCTCCATCTCGCGTCGCATTTTTCTTGAGGAGAGGGTCATCTATTGCGCCGCTCTCCTCTATGTGTTTTGGGTTGAGTCCTTCGCCAGGTTAGTTTTCCGTCCGGCTTGCAGGGTAGAATGGGGAGTACAAGCAGGAGGAGGAGTCGTTTGAGGAGGTTGAGGAGGGTGGAGGAGGGGAGGAGGCGGAGGAGGGAAGGGAGGAGGAGAAGATGGAGGAGGAGCTGGAGGAGGAGAAGGAGGAGGAGGAGGAGAAGACGGACGAAGAGGAAGAGGAGGAGGAGAAGGGGGAAGGAGGAGGAGAAGGGATAGTAGCAGCAGGAGTCGTAGTAGTCGCAGCAGTAGTAGTAGTAGTAGTAGTAGTAGTAGTAGTAGCAGCAGCAGCAGCAGCAGTAGTAGTAGTAGTAGTAGTAGTAGTAGTAGTAGTAGTAGTAGTAGTAGTAGTAGTAGTTGTAGTGGTGGTAGTAGTGGTAGTAGTCGTAGTAGTAGTGGTAGTAGTAGTAGTAGTAGTAGTAGTAGTAGTAGGAGTAGTAGTAATATTAATAGTAGCAGGTAGTAGTAGTAGTAGTAG